TTTAAAACCTCATACCTTTAACTCGAATTTGGCCTGTTGTGCCTTAGAGACCGCCTGGTCCTTGGTCGTCTCCAGGAGGCCCTTTTGATCGCAAAGCGACTTCTGAAGGGAAAAAATAAAAAATGACAAATATAAAATTTCGAGCGTACCTTCAACTTGTCCAACTCGTTGTTCTGCGTCTGCAAAAACGCCTGGATCTGCTGCACGAAGGGGCCGTCGATTTGGAAGTCTAAAATTTGGGTGACTTTCAGCCGAAAATCATAATGCCGTCACATAACGTCGAAATTTTTGCATGTCGAAATTCCTAAATCCCGAAATTTCAGAATGTCGACATTTTTTGAATGGAATTTAGGGGTTTTCCGGGCAATTTGTAAATTACGGCATGAAGATTTTCGACATTTTGACCTTCGGCCTTTTTGAAACGTTTTAAAAAATCCCCAAATATCGAAAACCACGTACCAAATCGCTCGCACACTTCCTGGACTTTCCGCCGGATCTCCTCGGTGCACTGCTCGCTTTGCTAAATAAAAAATGTTAAAAAAAATCCTCTTGTAAAAATAATACAGTACACCATACTACCGTACCATCAAATTACAAATTTTACCTTGATCAGGGCGGTCATCTCGATTTTGCGGCCGTCCAGCGCCTCGCGTTCCTGTAGCGCTTTTTGGCGCTCCGCCGCTGCCTAAAGTGGATTTCAATAAATTTTTATAAAAATTTAAATATACTAAATACTAAATAAAAATAAAAAGTTAAAATTAATAAAAATCGGTAAAATCGTCTAAATACCTTTTTCATTTGCACCTCGATTTCGGCGCGGCGTTGGGCGATATTTTGAAAGTCGGGCGAGCGTTCGAGCTGAAAATAGGGAAAAGTTTGTAGTTTCGAAATTTAATTAGATCAAAGTTTAATTAAGTTAAGAATTTAAATTTAAGTGACATAAATTGAAAAATTTAAACTCAAATTAATAGCAGATTAAATGGAAGTTTTAAAATAAAAACAATATGTTTATTAATGCTATATATACCCTCTCAATCTCCGCCTGCAGCTCCAGCTGACTGCCCGGGTAGTCGGGCACGTTGAACATCGTCAGCTTGTCCCGCATCGAGGTCAGCGTCGCCTCGTTGCGCACTAAAAAATTTTACTAAACTTAAAAACGATAAAAATGGCTAAACAGCGTTAAAAATAGAGTTGCCGTATTTTTATAAAGATGTCTTTTTGATTTGTGGAACCAGATTTTATATTATTACAACATTTAAAAAAATTAAACACGAAAAACCCACTAATATCCACGGACATGACTTGGTAGAGGCGCTTCTCCTCCCTGATTTGCACCAACATCTCCTGGGCGTTCTATAAAACACCAATTTTCAGTTTAGCATCCAACCGACCGTCTTCTTCGTGTTGTACATCTCCAGGACGTTGCTGTACTCTTGCAGGCGTAGCTTCAGCTCAGCAATTTCGCGCTCTTTCTAAAAACAATGTTGAGTTTGAGCTTCAGGATTAAGCCTAATCCAAGCCTAAGCCTAGGCCCAAGCCAAGCCAAAGCCTACGCCAAAACCGAATCGCACCGTTTTCTTGTCGAAGAAGTGGCTCTGCAGCAGCTTCAAGTCCGAGTAGATGACTTGCAGCTCGTTGTTCTAAAATCAAAATGTCTGTACATGTTTTAAGGAACCTCATCCTTGGCCAGCTTCCTGAGCTTGTCGACGGCTTTGACGTACTTGGACAGTTCGAAGATGGCGTCAAACTTTTCCTTGACCTGTTTGGGCTCGGCGAGGGGCCTGAAAATGACGAATTTTTCCGCAAAATAGAGAGCTCTGCGAAAAAATGACGTGTTTTTCCAAATATCGAAACTGAAAATGCCGCGCTTTTTTTGCAAAAATTCAGCCTTTTTCGATCACGTTACGTGATCCTTGGAAAAATCAAAACTAATCGAAAATTTAAAACGAACCACGTGGAATTCTCCTGGTGGCAGAAGATGACGTTGGTGAGGATGGCTGACGGCACGTCGAAGAGGTTCAAAATCTAAAAATCAATCAATCATCAAAAATACCCTTGAAATATCAAAAACTATTGAAATGCAACACTAACCTCGGTTTTCGTATCGGCCACCTTCGACGACAGCGACACCTTGTTGCCGTGCACATCTTCGGTGACAATTGTGCTCTCCTCTTGCTTGCCCGTCAATTTATTGGTCTGAAAAGGGTTTATTTAGATTATTAAACTTCAAACTAAACTAAAAAGCTACAAATTTAAAATTCAACAAATTAAAAACGAAAAAACCAACCCTCGGGGCCCTGGAAAGACACAGGCGCTTCGTGGCGGTGACCTGCTTGCCGTTGGCCGATTGGAACTTGAGCTTCACCAGCCCGTCGACGCGTGGTCGGCCGCAAATCTAAAAGAATAGCATACATAAATAGTAAGCCTCATAGGCGACGCGGTTGCACAGCATTTTTTACTTTACCTTAAAGCAAAATTAATTTATTGCCTCAATTTGCTCATTTTCGATCAAATTTAAGGTTGAAAAAACCATCAAAGTTTTCTAAATGGTTTGCCCCTTTAAATCTACCTAAATTTGATGAAAAACACCAATGAAACACTCTTTAATCCGAAAGTCCCATGCAAATCCGGATTTTTCAGCTTTTCGCCACCTCCAAATTGTGAATAAACGCCGGATACTGGCCGGACGGCTTCGTGTCGGTGGTGATAAAGTTCAGCGCCTCGATGAGGGTCTAAATATACATTTTTTTGCGATCAAAATTTATCCCCAAACCGTTTTCCCGGATCCATTCGGCCCGGCGATGATCGTGAGCGGGTTCTGGAATTTGATCACGTGCGCGTCCTCAGCGTCCGGACCAATAGCTCGAATCCCCTAAAACAGTACAATTTCTTTTTATCAAGCTTTACCTGCGCTAGCAATGAATCCAGTTGAGCCATGGCAACGGTTCATCAAATTTTGGCGGCACGGGAAGATGTGCTTCGCCTGAAAAGCGTGGAAAGTTGATGCCAATCAATACGATGGTAAAAATGAGAATGAAAAAAATATAACAGTGAAAAATTGGGTTCTTACTTTAGATTTTTACTCCATTTCCAAACTCTTTGATTTGTTTTGCCGGTCGCTTACGCAATGAAATTCCGGGTTCCGCAACGATACTAACGACACCGGGCTGGCGCGCATTATTACTCGGTTAGTAAAGCGCCCGCGGGCGCGCCCGAAATTGCGCCCGCGGGCGCGCTCACGGGCGCGCCCTCGGGCGCAATGGCCAAAAAGCGCCCGCGAGCGCGCCCGAAACTCGAAAGCGCCCGCGGGCGCGCCCCAATCGCGTCGCAACGGCGTAGGACGGGTTCTTTTAATGCTTTTATTATTTAAAAAAGGGCACCACATCGCTTTTGGCGATGCTGTACCCTATACTTAATGTAGATCTTCACGTTCCCTGAGAAAATGGTCGTACTGCGCACCTGAAATATGCTTTTTTTGCTTTTTTTGGCTTTAGCTTCGTTTAGAACTTACCGATACGTTCGAATGCGCGATAGATGGCCCCTAAAAGTATAGCTAATTACATAATTTCCTTTATAAACTTCGTAATTCGCACTTACTTTGTTTCCGCTTCCTGAAAACTTGCTTTGACTTGCTTCTTGCCGACTTACTTTGCACCTCCGCCCAAAGATACCGGAAACGTCGCGCTTCGCATTTGCAATGATGACCATGATCGTCTGAAAGGTCGGCTCATATAAATCGAGAATCTATAAATCTGAATTTAAAGTATTTTTAAAGTTTTTTGAAGGGACTGGTTCCGTAGCAAAAACTTTACCTTTGTTACCAGCGCCATGGCGCTTCAAAGTATTGTATCCTACATTCGACGACGATAACCAAGCAAATCTAGTAACGTTTGTGCTAATTTATATATATTTTGAACAAAAATAAGTGCATAAGCCAGGAACTTAGCCGTTTTTTCGCAGAATTGAAAGGTGTTCACCATTCAAATGCGCCCGCGAGCGCGCCCCTAGTTGCGCCCATGGGCGCTTTTTGCGCCCCGAGCGGTTTTGCGCCCTTTTGCAAAAATTGCGCCCGGGGCGCAAAAGGGTCCAGTTCGGGCGCGCTCGCGGGCGCTTTGGGTTTTCGGGCGCGCCCGCGGGCGCTTTGCTAACCGAGTAGGAAACGCTATGGATCTTTGAAGAAAGCGGCCCGGGCTGGAGGAATACAAAGTTTTTGATGGAAAATGTTGCTAAAACATGCTTAAAAATATTTAAATAATTTGTAGATTGTAGCTGTTTAAAGTGCGGAAAAAACGGCATAAGTGCGCTTTTGGGATTTTTGTAATAACGCGAAATAGTCGTAAAATATAAACTTTATTTTTCTCAATTTGGAAATTTGGCATGCTTGTTGAATTCTTTTTAAATTGATTTTACAGGGCCGCTGACCCGCCATGTTGCCAGATCTTTCGCCCCATCTACACACGCTAGAGTGCAATTATTTAATAAAGGTAGGTGGGTGGTTTCTGATAGAAACAGCCTTTTTTCAGCTTTTACAACAGTGCCTCGGGGAGAACACGTTTGGCAAACACCTCGGACAGTGCAGCAATTTGGACGAGGCCGTGTGGCAATGTACGAAAAAGGAGCGGATCTGGAGGAGGTTGATTTTGGTTTCTGAATCGGTTCGTTCGCATTATCGGGGGGGGGGGACCTTTTTGTATAAGGTTCGAAATATAGTAAACTAATCGAAAGTGTTTTAATAATATTTTTGTTAAAAATGTAAAAAAGATTATAACTAGATAAATTATGTTTGTGTCGAAATTGTGTTAAAAACCGCCCATTTTTGGTCGACAAATCGATACTTTTGGACATTTTGTAATAAAAGCCCCCCCCCGATAGTGCAAAAAAACCTCCGAATCTTAAAATTAACGTTGCCAAATTCCAGAGACAACAATCCGCGCTATAAACGACACGCCGTCGAGCTGCAGCGACTACCCGAATCGCACTGGACCCCCGATGTCAGGAGGTTGGCTTCTTGTTCTCTGTTCTAATCAAAAATTATTTCTAATTCTAGGCTCTACAACGAGGGTCTAATCCCTCCGATCAACATCGAGCAGCAAAAGCAATAGATATTACTTGTACACTTGGGTTTTATGAAGCGTTCTATGCCTTTTTCTTCGTTTTCGTGTGATAGTTAGGTTTTTGGAGTTGTTTTGTTTGTGCTCGATGAGTTTTCGGAAGATAAACGGTTTGAATCATTGCTTCTCGATTTGATTTTGTTTGATTGGTATTATGCCAAAATGATATATATCGCTTTTTCAGATAATAAATTCAATTAGATCGCGGTTATATCAAAAAAATTTGCTGGTTTTTTATTGTTTTCGGATACAAATTTCCCATTTAAATAGTTACGTTAAAATACGTCGTTGCAATGTTTTTCTCGATAAAACTTTGCTGCGAAAATGTTTAAAAGACTGCTACTTTAAATTCGGTTTTATTCGTGGCTAATAAGTGATTTTCACGATAGTAGGCTTTTTGAATGTTAGACTTTTCCAGATCATATTTTTCTACATCTTTTTCCACTAAACATTTGTATTTCTTAGGATACATCAATATTTGTTCCCGAGTAGTTGATCCCCGTGTTTTTTTTGCCCGAAACCCGCTTTTAAACAGCCCATTACCGCTCGCTGACCCCGGGTATCCGTTTCCCCGCGTTTTTCTTCTTTTTTCTTTCTCTCGTGCTCCCCAGGTGGGCCTCGCGTGCGGGACAGCCGTCCCCGTGAGGCCCAAAAAACCCCCGCAACTCACTCGTCGCATTATCGCCCCGGGAAGTTCTCGGGGGTCGGGACCGGTTCTCCAATTCCCACACGCCAGCCGCCACCAAATTGCCGGCTATTCGCGCTGTTGGTGTGCCGCGCGCAGCACCAAATAAACACTGCCTGTCGGATTTGGGCGTAATGAGCTCGTTATTTCCGGGAGCGGCACATAATAATCACGAAAAATGTTTAATAGATACAATTGCGGGATTTTTGTAGTATTAAAACTACAATTTGTGGTAGTTTTTCGTCGTGCTCTCAAATAGGCCTTTCCTTTGCAGTAAATGGACCGGGCGCGGAAGAGCAACGGCGTCGTCTCGATGCGGTTGTTCGCCAACTGGGACATCGACAAGACCGGCAACGACATTGTCCAGAGGTGGGTTGCGGAATTTAGCGCCAAAACACATTTTTAGCTGTTTTGCGTTTTAGCGTTTGTAAAGGGCGCCCTTAGAAACGATCCCCCAATTTTTTTTTTGGAAATTTTGATCCAGGCAGAAATCTACCCCCAAAAATTGGGTAAAAACTCAACGCCATTTCAGGGTTGCCAATTTTTCGGTGAATCGCCTCCAATTACGCACGCTGGCGCCCGAGCTGCAGAGTATCGTGATCACCGCCCGGCTGCAGGTAGGGGCGCACCGAGCCTGAAAAAAATGCGGTATCGATCAGGGTCACAAGCGGAATCTGCGCAGCAACGAGATTGCCCTACCGGCACGCACTGGCCAGCTGGACTTGCCATTGGATATTTCGTTTGCGATTCAGGTGAGCGTGATTATAATACGACAAATGGACTGTTGTCATTTTTAGACAGTCTTAATGTAGCCCTTTAATTTAAAATCTGTCTGATTAAATCATTTTAAAAAGTTACATTTTGCCAATTACAGTACCCGCACTTCCTCAAGCGCAAGATCAACGTGCTGCAGATTCTCATCCAGCGGCGGCGGCGTTATAAAAATCGCCCGATCCCCGGCGGCTTCAAGACGTTGGCCATTGGTGGGTGCTGGCGGCAGCTTGCAGAGATTCTTTGGGAATAAAAAAAATCTATATTGATTTGGCGATCTAAAAAATTACAACTTTTTAGGCCTGGTCAACCTGACGCAACTCCTCCAGCAGGGCCAGCTGCACGAGATTCTGCTGTGGAACTCGGACGATTTGCAGAAGGAGAACACGGCAAACGGTGTGTTGTAGTTTGTACTACAAACTTTGTAGGATATATTTGAATTTTTATTTTTTAGTGCAAAGCATCGGGCGGCTCAACTTTAGCGTGTGCGCGACGCAGCCGCTCGACTCGGACACCGGGCCGCCGAAGGGGAAACCGCTGGGTGAGTCGGAAAAATTGAAGAAAAATTATTGTTACGGTTTTCGGCGAAAAAGCTAAAAGTTAGGCTTGGCCGGGATTCGAACCCGGGCCTTGTGGGTGATAAGCTAGCGCGCTACCTGAGCTACGACCATAACACTGGTTTTTCTTGCTATAAGCGCCCTTATTTTCAAGGTATCCAGTCAATTAGGATATGGTATTCAGAAAGCAAAAAGTTTGGCACTCTCAGGAGTCGAAACCGGGGCTTGTGGCCGGCATATTAGAACACTACCAGCTAGCCACAAGTCCGAGGTTAATTAATTCACTTAAATTTTGCAAATACGTAAATTAATGTTTGTTAAGGTGTATTTCCCACGATTCAGGCGAATTGAGCGAGGACTCGGATTCGGAGACTGACGACGAGGCGGAGGCCCCAGCCGACAGCGATCACCACGACGCCCCCTCCACGGCCAACCCGCCCGGCAAAAGGTCGGGTTTTAAAGGGATCGGAAAGTCAGGGGACGCTTAAATTTCTATAAAGCTTCGGAAGGGAGACGCCTAGCTCCTGACAAAATATTAGCAAAAAAGCTCTTGAATCGACAAAGTTATGACGGTTTTTAGGATGGGCGGCGACCGGCGGAAGTTTGCGCACCGGAAAAACCTGAAACAGAGAATCGTGTCGTTGCTCAAGAAGTTTAAGGTCCCCGAGGAGGAGGAGGTGGGAATTTTGGGTGTTTTAATGAATTAATCCCGTTAAGTATGGCATTTCAGGAGATTCGGCTTAGAAAGAAGTTTAGATGTAATGAAACGAGGGCGAAAATCGTCATTATATTTTTTAGTCCCCAAATTAAATTAAGCAAATTAGCCCTGATTTTCAGACCAATTTCCCGCCCTCGACGTCGGCTTCCGTCGCTCGCGCTCCTACAGCCAAGGAACTCGAGGCGCTCTTCGAGGAGCTCGACGACTTGAGCGATTCCGGCCCTGAAGGTAAGCGTAAACCTGATCCTAAGCCTAAGCCTAAGCCGAAGCTAAGCCCAAGCCCAAGCCTAGCGAGGTATTTTTTCAGGAATGCTTGGCGACGACATCTCGATCGACTCCATCCCCAGGCCCAACCTTCAGCCCTATTTTAGTCGGGAGCGCATCCCGGCATTGGCATCGATTGATGATGAAAAGGTATCCCTTTCTAAGACCTTTAAAGCTTAGAAAATTTCTATAAAAATAGAAATAACTTTTAGTGTTCGGACAGCGAGAACGAGGAGAATGAATGGTCATCCGGGGAGCGAGAAGGGCGGAAGGAGACGACGACCAGTTACGGTAGGCAGGCCAGCAGAGATTGTTGAGGAAGGGGAGTGGGCAGGCTAGCAGAGATTGTTGGGGAAGATGAGAGGGCAGGCTAGCAGAGATTTCTGAGGAATTCTGACCAAAAGCTGAATTTTCAGTGGACAATGATACGCCGCGTCGCCCCCAGAAGCCGAATAAAAGTGAGTTTTCGCGACACGTGTTTTTTTTTGAGGGCAGGCTAGCAGAGATCGTTGAGGAAACTCTTTGTTTAGCCGTTCAACCGACGCTGAGCGACGCGAAAATCGGCCCCTCTGCTAGCCGGACGACTATTTCTCACTCGCTGACGGCGGGCAGCATCGCGACGACGACCACGCCGCTCGCCCGCGATTCGAAAACCCAGCGGAACGCTAGTTTTGGAGACCATGTGAGAATTTTTAGGTCCTTGTGGGCAGCCTAGCAGGGATTGTTGCGGAAAATTCACCATATTTTCAGATCCTCTCCCCGGAAACGCCCTTCATCCGCGATTTCGGCGAGTGCGTCTGGCTCTTCCACCCCTCCGATCTCCCTCTCCAGCTGCCCTCTGCAGTACGCGCTGTCCCCTGTACGACCGTGCAGAATGTACGCGCCGTCCTCGGGCAGCTCGTGCAAAAGCTGCACAACTTGTGAGTGGAAACACCTAACGTAAACGATTCTTGTCCAGCTGCAACTCCAACTCGAACTCGCCGCCGTTGACGTGGATCGGAGTGCTGGGAGGGGATCGGCTGATTTCTTTTGTGAGTGCTATTATTGCGTAAATTAGCTGTTTAAATTTAGGTGCTACGCTCGTACGTCGAGCTCGTCGCCCACCGCTCTTCCACCCCATTCCTGGCGTCGATCCGGTTCGCGCTGGTCCCGCCGCCGCACAGTCTATGCGGAAGGCTGATTTCTGGTGAGGATTCTAAAAGCTTTAGGTTCCTAAAAGTCCTCTGCTGGCCTGCCCTCTCCTCTTCCTCAACAATCTCTGCTAGCCTGCCCTCTCCTCTTCCTCAACAATCTCTGCTAGCCTGCCCTCTCCTCTTCCTCAACAATCTCTGCTAGCCTGCCCGCTCCTCTTCCTCAACAATCTCTGCTAGCCTGCCCTCTCCTCTTCCTCAACAATCTCTGCTAGCCTGCCCTCTCCTCTTCCTCAACAATCTCTGCTAGCCTGCCCTCTCCTCTTCCTCAACAGTATCTGCTAGCCTGCCCTGCCTTTGCCCCTGATTTCCACCGCTTTAGGCATCGACTCGGTGCTCGATGCCCTGTGCCACGACGTCTGGGAGCGCAGCGCTGAGATGAGCCCAGCTGAGATTCAAAGGGTAAAATATTAAATTCATGTGAATATTTGTGTTTTAATAAATCATTTTTTATAAAGCAATTTTTATAGTTAAACGCCCAGCTCGACGCGTGGGCCAAGAACCTGACCGCCGGCTGCATCCATCTGCCAATCGGGGAGGCGCTGCTCCAAATGCCGGAAAAGGAGGGACAGGTGGGATATTAGAGCTTTAGTTGCCTGAAAAATCTCTGCTAGCATGCCCTCAGCACCTCCCAAAAAATCTCTGCTATCTACCCCATTTAGTCCATTGACTCCACTCGTCTGTTCGTCCCCTTCTTGGCCGAGGTTCGAGTAGGGCAGAACGATCCCGAGGACCTGCCGGAAACGGTTAGCAGCCCCAGGGACATCGACAAGGAGGTCAGTGACTTCGGGGACGTTGAAGGCAAAAATCCACAGCTTCAGCCGGCCTCCACATCATCTGCTTTCGTCTCCGGCTCCCCTCCAGCCAGCCCCCAGAATCGGCACGAGACCCAGGAGATGCAAGTAGAGTACTGGACGGACCCGCATCAGCAGGTGGGCGGGTTTAAAGGGGCCGTGAAGGCTAAAGTTCTCTTTCTATCGTTCCGCAAGTGGTCTCTGCTAGAATGCCACAGAGCTTTAAAGGCCGCGGGAAGTCTACAAAATAGAAAACTATGATCAGGGACAAACGCCAATTTGCATGTTTAGGAGCCCGGCTCTCATGCGCCAGGCCACGCCCCCGTCGCCCAGACTCCGCCCAAAAAGGAGGGCAAGGGGTCGCTGAAGAGCACCTTTAGGTGAATAATAATCCATTTTATTTCAAAATTCTACGTTCTAAAGAATTTTATAATTTCCAGAACGCTCCTCGTGACGCGCACCTGCGCCCAGCCCCTCCTCGCCCTCACCTTTGTCAAGGAGAAGCGGAAGGAGAAGATGCTGCAGAAGTTGGGGATGAAGAACCGACAGGTGGGATGCAGACTAAGCCCAAGTCTAAGCCTAAGCCTAAGCCGAAGCCTAAGCCGAAGCCTAAGCCAAGTCTAAGCCTAAGCGTAAGCCCAAGCCTAGGCCTTAGCCCGAACCTAAGCTAAGGCTCATGCTAATTTCCGTTTTCCAGAAAAGCGAAGCCGAGAACCCGCCCGTCCAGGTGACGAACGTCTCACGGCTGCTCTGCTCCGGCGCTCAGAAGCACAGTCAACTCGCTGGTAATTTCTTTGTTTGGGTAGATAGCAGAGATTCTTGGGGAATTCCGCGGTATCTAGCAGAGATTGTTGAGAAAGAGGAGAGGGACGGCTAGCAGAGATTGTTGAGGAAGAGGAGAGGGCAGGCTAGCAGAGATTGTTGAGGAAGAGGAGAGGGCAGGCTAGCAGAGATTGTTGAGGAAGAGGAGAGGGCAGGCTGTCAGATTGTTGAGGAAGAGGAGAGGGCAGGCTAGCAGAGATTGTTGAGGAAGAGGAGAGGGCAGGCTAGCAGAGATTGTTGAGGAAGAGGAGAGGGCAGGCTAGCAGAGATTGTTGAGAAGAGGAGAGGGAAGGCTATCAGAGATTGTTGAGAAGAGGAGAGGGAAGGCTATCAGAGATTGTTGAGGCAGAGGAGAGGGAGGCTAGCATTGATTCTTTGCTCTAAAGACGCCGTGAAACCTAGATTTTTAGTATGCGTTGATGGGCAAACGTTTCCGTCTGTGCGCTTCTTCCAGACGTCCTCCCAATGGCCGACCCATATCCGCACCCTGCCCGTCTCCATCATCTCGTCGCTGCCCAATTTTTACAAATAGATTTTTTTGCTTACGCCCTGTAATTATTTATTTGCCGTAGCCTACCGTAGTCGCTTTCCCTGCCGATTCGACCCACTTTCCACCTCTTTTTTGTGAAAATATTTCTGAGAAATAATCCTGTTTTCTTGCCAGTGTTACTGTACTTTCGTGTGTACATTCCTGTATCGATTTTGGCCATTTCCGCTTTCCTTTTTTGCGACTTTTGATTGTTCCTACTACGCTACGCTACGTTACGCTACATTACGATGTGCTACGCTACGTTACGCTTTGTTACGTATCGTAACGCTTTCGGGCTCCGGTATCTTCCGACCGTTTGCGGTCCGCTACGCTACGTTTCCCTACGTTACGGTACATTAAAAGCACTTCGTGCAGCTACGTCTCGCTACCTTTTGCTACGTTACGCAACGTTCCGTTAAGTCTAGCTAGCCATTACGCCTCGGTACGTTACGTTACGCTACCGTAGGGCCAGTAAGTTTCGAAACGCTGCGTTAGGTGCGCTACGCTCCTCTCCGGTTCCGTTACGTGACGCTACGCCCCTGTACGTTCCGCCACTTTCCATTAAGCTCCTCTTGCACCCCTCTGCTCTACTTATCGATTCTATACGCTGGTATCTCACTTTTCCTCCTCGACAGTCCTACTTATCACCCGTTTCCCGCGGCATTCTACACCTCCCAAAATTCGCATAAGGCCACCCACTCGCCGCACCGGCAGCTTTAAGTTAATGCATTCTACGGTTTTTGTTGTTATTCATAGTATTTCCATTTTAAAGGGATAGTCAAGGCAAAAAACAGATTTATGATTTTTGCTTGACTTTCCGATCCCTTTAAAGCATTGCCCTTCGCTTGAGATTCCGCACCACTTCTCTGATTCTCTGACTGAATTGAAATTCGCATCAATAAAGAGATTTGCTGATTTTTGGGGGTAAAATGCATCCTCAAGGAACGCTGCTAGCCTGCCAAGACCTTTGCCGTTTCGGAAATTGTCTGTTCTAGCTTGCCAGGCCCTTGGGGCCTTCCAAAAGACCACTGCTAACCTACCAACTCAACAGAGAGCTCTCAACTTGTGGCTGCAGGCCTACCCGAGCAGAAAAGCTTGGTAAATGATCTCTGCTAGCCTCAGACTACGCCAAAGCCTAAGCCTAAGCCTAAGCCTAAGCCAAGCCTAAGCCTAAGCCTAAGCCTAAGCCTAAGCCTAAGCCTAAGCTTAAGCCTAACAAGGGAAGGTTGTTTGGGTCAGGTGTCAAATCGACTTGAAACTTTGCCAGTGGATAGAAAATCAAAAATAAAGTGGAGTTTCTTAATCTCATTTTTTGCACAATACCCCAAATTAAAAAGTTATAGGCCTTTGAAGTTACATAAAAAAGCACGAAACGACCCGACAATTCTGATCTGGTTCTCATTGTGGCCTTACCCCTTCAAGCTCTTGCGTCGCCTGGACTAGCCAAGCTGTTTGGCGCAGTAGGTGGTCCCGTAGAGTGCAAAACTTTTAAATTTTTGTAATCGAGTTCAAGTCTTTGATGCGTCCAGCTTTTGCTTTTTGGATTTTATGCCAATAACCCTAATTTGCAGAGCAAAAGCAAAGCCAGAGGATAGAAAGTTTTAGTCTCAAGCTTTGCCAAAAATTTCACAAAAGATTGTAGTCAAGCGCACTACCGATTGCGCTAGAAGAGACGTGGGGAGTGGAGACGAGAGCTCGAAATCACGCAAGAATGGCCGGAAGCGGTGCGGTATTGGTGCAAAAGCCTGCGCAGAACTCATTTTAGACCCAAGCTTAAAATGCTTATAACTTTTATTAAGGGCATTTTGCAGAAACGACTTAGGCTCCCTGTTCCGTTTTCAATTTTTCTATCCAATGGCTACAATTTTAAGACTTAAGCACTGACCAAACAAGCCTTCCCTTAAGCTAAGCCTCACCTACTGACGCGCAAAACCATCACTAAATTTGCATATGCCCAGCTTATTCCCACTAAGCAACCGGAAGCCTTCCGGAATTTCCCTGTGTTTCCTCGTATAAAATAAGGCGTCCCCGCGTCTGCTCTCTATCTCTCTCCACCTCCACCCTCTCTCTCTCGTCTCGCCATGTCGTGCTCGGGGGCCCTGTCGCTCGACCCGCCCGTCTGTCGTACGACTGCCGCCGGCGGTGTCTCCAAGCACAAGATGATCAACATGTGCGACCGGAAGCTGGCCTTCAAGGTGGGTAGGCTTGGGCTTCGACTTCGGCTTAAATCGACCTTCAATACCACCTTCCGTTCAGGTCAAGTCCTCCAACAACTCCAACTACAGCGTCTCCAAGGTGGTCGGCTTCATCGACATTGGCGAGAAGCAGGATTTTGTCATCACCCGTATCAAGGGTGAGGGTTTCTCCAACAATCTCTGCTAGCCTGCCCGAGCCTGCCAAACAAGCTAAAACCAAAATTTTTAGGTCCGCCCCGCGGCGACAAGATGGTCTTCCAGTTCATCCAGGCCGGCGACGCCACCGACGCCGCCAAGCTGTTCCCCGCCGACGGGACGTGCCCCCAGGCTGAGGTCGGTACCCCGACAATCTCTGCCAGCCTGCCCTCTCCTCTTCCTCAACAATCCCTTTCATTCCAGGTGTGCGGCGAGACGCTGATGAAGCTGTCGGCCGGCGAGTAACTCCCTACCATCGATCGATCGATCGGCCACCCAGCCCATCTCCAGCCTCACTTCACACAAAACCAATGGATCATTTGGCGACTGTCTTTTTTTGGCGCTTCTCCTTACAATAAATGGCTTTCTGGAGTGTCGAAAAGTTTTGTTGCGGCGGGAGAGAGCGAGAGATTGAGAGTGAGGTTGCATCATTGATTTGATCATTTTTTGTGAATCACACTTCGAAAGCGAGCAATTAGTTTTGCACAACCTTGGGATCAGTCTCTTATACCTACCCTAAAAATTTCGGAAAATTTCGAAAAACGAAAGTGCACCAAAAACCTTTAACCCCCGACGATATGCGGTGGGAATACGCCCCACGCCTTTTGACCCTTCCCGCTTCCCCATCCCCTGTTGCCCCTGTGGCCTATTGGTAGGGTGCCGGGTCCACCGACCGCAGCACCAGGGTTCGACCCCCCGCCGCGGCCAATGATTTCTAACATAAACATATCGCTGACTGCCAGTGGTGACAACCCATCGCTGAGGCCTGCTTTTTGTAGTTTTTAATGAATTTTATATATTGAGCGTGCTTGGAACGGCGCATCTTTGTTTCTTAAAGCACTTGATTGCTTTCTAGTTTGCAGGAAGTTGATGGCTTTCATGTTTTGCAGTTTTTAACGAGGAGTATTTGTTGTACCAGTGGAAAAAGACCGCTTCGCGGCCCTTTTCCACTGGACCCCGTCCAGGAACCATGAATTTAAATACCTTCTTTTTCGGCCTGCGCATGAACCTGAGTCAAGGAGCCATTCTTTGGCCTGCGGCGCAAGAGCCAGCGTTACGCTAGAATCGTTGAGCCTGCGGCGCTAGTTACTGGTTTTTCTCTCCCGGAATCTGGCCTGCGGCGCGAGAGCCTGCGTCCAGGACCCATCCGTGGCCTGCGGCGCGAGAGCCTGGGTCAAGGACCTTTTCTTTCACCTGCGGCGCTACAGCGAGAGCCAGGCCTAAACCGCGCACACCGTCAGCCTAAAAATAAGTTTTGTTGCTGAACTACCAAAAAGCAAAAAGTTGAATTGGCGGTGGATCCGAACCCACGAGCGTGCGCGTGGTAGACCCACCCCCCCCAATCCACTACACCGCAGGACAGATGGGAACGGGGGCGGCAAAGGCCTCTTGTGTCCTGGGGACGGGTCCGCCCAGGGCAGCGGTAAAGAAATGAGAGCTGGGAGGGATGCCTTCTGGTCACTTTGCAAAATTCGCTTTTTTAGTCTGAAACTGCCAAAAATTTGTCAAAATAATAAGATGCGCGTGATCCCCACCATCGATTACATAAGTTGTCCAAATTCCAGCCCGAAATTCCATCTGGGCTTCGAGTTATGGCCTGGACACCACGGCACTTTGGCCATTTTGTTAAGGAATTCGCAGAAAAATGTTCATAAAAGCCTTATTTTAAAGAATTAACGAAAATCCAAAAAATGGTATCGAGATATTTTCATTATGCATCAATCCACCAAAAATCAGCGTCTGACTCCTTCTGGCAATCGAGATAGCCTCTGAACAAACCTTTTTTCGACCAAAATGTTAAGGTTTTTTCAGTATTTCGCTTGTAAAATCGTTAAATGAAGGGATTTCAAAAAACAAAAAAACCTTATAAAGGGGGTGTATTTCTCCACCTCCATGCCAAAAATCACCCTGAAATTCGGCCTGACGGCCGAGAAATCGTCTGCACAGAAAACAAACATACTTTTCTCGCTTATAGGATAGGATCTGGCCATAAAAATATACCAATTTTTTATTTATATATTTTTATTTGCAAATATACAAATATTTCATCGATACTCCCGTCTCGCAAATATTCTTAGAAAGCATTCCGGATCGTCGCGTTGTCGAATGTTGGCCTGGGATTAAATTAGTAGTTCAGTTCAGTTCAAAAGATTAATTTTTTTTAATCTTGTAGTTTGTAAAATCCCACCGTTCAACCTGATAGCAAAAATCGCCTTCCTCCGGCACGGCCATCATCAGGAACGATTTTTTCGTTGTGGCGTATGCGAAGCTGATCCACTGGAAAATCGAAAATTCGATGGAATTCGGGGTTGCCCGCAAAGAATCCCTGCTAGCCCCCCGTAAACGAACCAGAACCGCTATTTGCCAGTATGACGGCACGCAGGGCCGTACCTGGGCCGAAATTTCGGGGGGCAGGACCGAAAAAATTTTTTGACGACCTCCCCCCCGGTCGACGCTTTTGTAAAATGGCGGAGAAGTAAAAAGCAAAATTGGTTAAGAAACACCCTGGGATTGAGCCAAATCGCGGCAAAAATGCACTTTTGAACCGAAATTGCGATTCAATGAATGAAAAAATGAGCGCCGCAGGCAAAAAATTTTCAAAAATGGTGTTTCTAACACCAAAAACCCACTTGCGAACAGCTATAAAAAGCGCCGCAGGCAGAAAAATTTTCCGGAAAAAGATCATAAGGGTCCCCTTATGAACTTTTCGGGCGATTGCGGGGCGGGGGGGGGCGGCTCGCCTGGGGCGTCCTGAGAGCGCCCCAGGCAGCAAACTTAGCGAAAATTGCGATAAATTTACTGAAAAAACAGCGCCGCAGGCTGAAATTTTTGAAAAACGGTGCCTATAGGATAAAAAAATGGTGTTAAAGAGCGAAGAAAAAAGGCGCCGCAGGCAAAAATTTTTGAAAAACTGTCTATATTATAAAAATAAATAGCGTTTAAAAGGCCGTTTGCGAGTCACCCGAACAAGGCTTGGCACAGTTTTTTTTCGAAATTTTTTGCGAAAAAACTCTAAAGGGCCTTATGCGCTTTCCGGACTCGGTCGATTTTGGGTGGAGGTCTATTTCTCCTCACTCTTTATTCTTGTCGAGGGTGCCGTGATCAGGCAAGCCCTCTGCCGCGCTAAGATACCGTTAGTAACCGGAATAAAGTGCTTTAGCAATACGGGTTTTCTGCTTTACCTCGCCCTGTATTCTCCCTACTCTGGGCTTTCTATCGCTATATCAATCATCCCGATCCGTTACTTCTCCATGGAGTTACCGCCGTATCATTATTGCCTATTTTGGGCTTTTTCTCCAAATATTAGCCCATTAATGGTGCCAAAATAATCTCCTAACAACACCCAACCCCATCTGCCACCCTAACATTAGTGCCAAAAAAATGCGGGAAAATTCAAACTTCTAGATTACCTGCCCCCTCCATGGGGGCAGCAAAAATGGCGAAAAAAAACATAAGGGTACTACCTTATGTACTTTTCGGCCCCCCGAGGATTTCGGGGGGGGCAGGCTGCCCCCCCTGCCCCCCTCGTACGGGCCTGACGGCACGACAGCGGGAATTGCCCAAAAATCCGGGCGGTCAAATGTCACAAAAAACCTCTGCTAGCTTGCCCTCTTCGAGAAAATCTCGCTTACCGGTGTGGGGACCATTGATGCAAATGCGGCCGCAAAGAGGAGGAAAAAGCCGAGCGTTTGGGTCCTGAAATTTTGAGTAAAATTTTTTTACTACCACCGTTTTATAAAAGTAGGGATCCTACCCTATAGAACAAAGTTCCTATTTTTGCCTTGCCCGTGCCTTTAAAAGGCTCCAGGAACTCCATAAATGATGAGAAAAATGCAGATTGGTCGCGAAAAAATGTTTTGGAATTAAATGTCGTAATAGGCTAGACTTCGTCTTTAAAGGGACATTAAAAACCTGCAAAAACGCGAAGAACTCACAAAATCCTGGCGGCCATGTTCGAAGCAGTAAGGTGAAGGAGTGATTCAGGTTCTGCTGCGCCCCCAAAAAGCTGGGCAAGCAGGGCGGGGTGGCGAGAGAGCGAAAGAGCGAGAGCAGAGAGAGAGAGAGCAGGGTGAGAGAGAGAGAGAGCACAAAAAAAATTGGCAGGCTAGCGGAACCGGACGCGGAAAGGCGTCACATGCGCGCCAAGCGGGGCCCCGGCTGTCTGGGACAGTCGGGTGGGAGAGTGGGAAGAGGGAGAGCCTGCAGAGAAGTGAGGAGTTCAAGTGGGCAAAACGTGGCTCTTGGGACTGTCGGCGGGTTAGAGGAATGCTAGAAGGTCGTGGGCAGGCTAGCAGAGAATATTTGGGACGCCACGGAGGGATGGGTAAGTTAACAGCGGTCATTTAGGAACTTTTTCATTATTCTTATCGGCCCTGGGCTTCGGCTTAGGCTTTTGCTTAGGCGTAGGCTTACGCTTAGGCTTGGGCTGAGACTCGACTTCCGTATAGTTAGGCCAAGATTCCGCCACGAAACTCTGCTAGCTTGCCCTTCGTCTGTTTTATTCCGCAAAGAAACCCTGCTGGTTAACCCGATTTTTTCGTGAAATTGAAGCACTTTATTTACAAGCTAACACAGTTTAAAACAAGGTAAAAAAATTGTGAAAAATTTGGCGTGGCTAAGGAGTGAATCAGGGGGTTGAGATCGTTGGAAAATCGCTAAATCGATCACTTCCGGCCCTGGCGATTGCTCGAGCTGCTGTAGTCGTAGCCGTAGATGTTGTTCGTCACCTGCGACGGGTCGACCTGGTACTTGTCGATGCCACCGACGTAGTCCTGAAAAAACTCCCTAGTTCTCTCTCTCTCTCTCTCTCTCTCTCTCTCTCTCTCTGCTCTCTCCCTGTAGCTAACCTGCTGAATTTTCTGGTAATTCTGCTGATTCTGCGCGTCATTCGAAAGTATCGGCGCCTCGGTGGCGGGCGTCATAAAGTTGCTGTTTCCTAAAAAATGCCCAAAATCGCCACAATGAGCCTGTACGCACCGGAAGGGTCGTACATCCTGCCGTAGTTGGCCAAGTACTGGCTCTCCAGATTCAGGGGAAGGTAGGCGTAGTTGGGATTCTGAAATGAGAAATATTTGCTTTCTCTGTCTCTCTCTCTCTCTCGCTCGCACTCTCTCTCCGTATCATCGAAAGATCTCTGCCAGCCTTCTTGCCTCGAGAATTTAGGGCAAACTAGCGGAGACAATTGAGCTTATCCTCTTCCCTCTCTCTCTCTCTCACTCGCTCTCTCACTCTCTCGCTGCTACCCCGCCCTCTCCTCTTGCTCAACAATCTCTGCTAGCTTGCCTACCTGAATCAAGCTTTCCGGGTTCGCGTTCCCTCCCCGCTGATCGTACTGCCGATTGTTGTAGTTTGTCGTCGCCCCGTACTGCTGCGTCGACGCGTACAGCGGGTTACTGTAGGTGTGAGACTCGTATTTTTTTGATTTCTACATTTATTGGTACCGTAGTGCTCACAGATCACAGCCCTGAGGAGTTGGTTAACGCGAAAATGCTCAAAAAACATGCAAATAAAAATACGGTGGATAGGTTAAGGGTTTATAGTGTGCGAGGTAGGAAAAGGAGTCAAAATTCAAGTAGAAAAGTGCAGAAAGCCAGAGAAGCCAAGGCGCATCTCGGGCTTACGCGGTGGTGGAAGACGAGGCGCTGAAGCCCGAATTCTGAGCGGAGCTTTGCCGCTTGGCCCTGAGGGCCCGTCGGAATCTGGAAGGGATAAATCGTTACGTTACATGCTGGATCGGATCTTAACGGCACAGGAAAGTCAGGGTTCGGCGAATAATAAGATTTAATAGAGCCTAAGCCTAAGCCTAAACTGAAGCCCCAGCTAGGTATGGCCTAAACATACCTGAAGGTATTGGGATATCGCTGATTGCCATTGTAGTTTGTGTTCCAGTTGGTCTGGTATCCGTTTTGGGACTGCATCGAATTCGGGCTGCTATACTGGTTGCTCAGGGGGTTGTAGAGAGCCTGAAAACGGAATTTAACTTAGGCAATCAAACAGAGATTGTTGAGGAAGAGGAGAGGGTAGGCTAGCAGAGATTGTTGAGGAAGAGGAGAGGGTAGGCTAGCAGAGATTGTTGAGGAAGTGGAGAGGGCAGGCTAGCAGAGATTGTTGAGGAAGAGGAGAGGGCAGGCTAGCAGAGATTGTTGAGGAAGAGGAGAGGGCAGGCTAGCAGGGATTGTTGAGGAAGAGGAGAGGGCAGGCTAGCAGAGATTGTTGAGGAAGAGGAGAGGGCAGGCTAGCAGAGATTGTTGAGGAAGAGGAGAGGGCAGGCTAGCAGAGATTGTTGAGGAAGAGGAGAGGGCAGGTTAGCAGAGATTGTTGAGGAAGAGGAGAGGACAGGCTAGCAGAGATTGTTGAGGAAGAGGAGAGGGCAGGCTAGCAGAGATTGTTGAGGAAGAGGAGAGGACAGGCTAGCAGAGATTGTTGAGGAAGAGGAGAGGGCAGGCTAGCAGAGATTGTTGAGGAAGAGGAGAGGGCAGGCTAGCAGAGATTGTTGAGGAAGAGGAGAGGGCAGGCTAGCAGAGATTGTTGAGGAAGAGGAGAGGGCATGCCAGCAGAGATTGATGAAGAAACTACGCACCTGTCCATTGTACCCGTTACTGTAACCGTTGTACTGAGAATTCGGGTTGTAGTTGTAGTTCCAGTTCTGATCCCGAAGCAGGTATTGCGTCGATGGGGTAGAGGACTGTAAATAAGACATAAAAACGCTGTTGAATAATGCTAAAATTTACCCTTGAAAAATTAACCTAATCAAATGAATTGGCTTTTTTTCAAAAAAATCACCTGATACTGGCCGTTGTACGATAGCTGCTGGTTGGTGTAGGGATACTGGTTCGAGGAGCTGGAAAAAAATATGCTTAAGCCTAAGCCTACGCCGACAGAAATAAAAATTTTGTTGTATGATATGTTATACCGACCTGTACATGTTGCCACTGCCGTAGCCCTGATTACCGTAGCCAGCCTGTGGGTACTGCTGGTTTTGACTGAAATTTGTTTTTTATTGCGCAATAAGGAAAAGGCAAAATCAATTTTTACTGTTTTACTTTTTCGACCGACCTGTACATGTTGCTGCCGCCGTAGCCCTGGTTGGTGTACCCGTTTTGCTGGTATTGGTTTTGGCTGAAAAATTTCATAGGAACGAGTCGAATGACTGGGCTTCAATGGCCCTTTAAGATCAAGAAAAGAATCATATCTACTGGTACTAAAAGACCATTTGAGGCTAAGCTAAGAATAGACCTTGAAGGCCCCTTAAGACCCCCCTGAAACTGCGTTCTAGCCCGAAATTCCGAACCTGTACGGCGAGTACGTCGACGTGGCGTACTGGTGCATCGGCGTACTAATGGCTCGAGACGCGCGGGACGCGTTTTTGGAGGCCGGCACGATGCCAGCCGCCTTCTCGGCGTCCAGCGTCGGGTTCATGGTGGTACGGTAGACGAACGGGGCGCCTGGAAAGGATAAGAATACGCCTAATCTAAGCAAAGCTTAAGCGAAGCCTACGCCTAAGCCCTAAGCCCTAAGCCTAAGTTTAAATCTAAGCAGCATAAGCCTAAGCCTAAGTCTAAGCAGAAGCCTAAGTCTGGGCCTAGCTTAAGCCCCAGCCTAAGCCTAAGCCTAACCAAAGTGAACCCGAAAAGCCTAAGCCTAAGTCTAAGCCAAATAATTACCTGTATAAGCCTGGGCGGTGGGAGGCGTGGCCGTATTCGGGCGGTAGCCATACGTGTTTTGGGCTGCCGCGACAGAAAGTACTAAATTTTTCCTTCCTACAATTTTTTTAAATGTTGTATTAATCCTAGATAAATTTTTGGCGGGCAAGCAAGAGAGAGCAAGCGGGAGAGAGAAAACGAGAGAGAGCAAGCGAGAGAGAGCGAGAGAGAAAATGCCTTTAATTCATGGCACTAACGTGCAATATGGGCACTAAAAAACAAACCTGCTAACAGCAGCATCGCCAGCTGATTCATCTTGTAGATGTGCTCAAAAAAGATGGAGTAATTAAGGGGACCAACCAGGGAGCATCTCAAAATTGCTGGCCGGGCTTTTATACCGGATATTTTTCAGTTTATTTTCTCTTCTTCCAAGTTTTTCCGAATTGTTGGTCTCTTATTTTGCCGTCTCTCTCTCTCTCTCTCTCTCGCTTTCGCTCTCTCTCGCTCTCTCTCGCTCTCTCTACCCTCCCAGTGGCCAGAAAATAAATAGAAATCCCCAGGGCGGGGCTGTGGGGGGGCAGTATGTTTCGGTCCCCTAGTGCTCTATTTTGCTTAGGCTCGTCCCCAAACAACTGGAGGAAATTTTTCCACTTTTTTCGGGGTGACTCGAGTAGCCCCTCGGAATCGGAAACTGAGAGAGAGAGCGAGAGAGAGAGAGTGAGAGAGGGCGAGAGAGAGAGAGAAACCCTGACGAGTACAAATGGACACCTGGTGCTGGACATTGGTGCGAGAGGGAGGCTAGCAGAGATCATTTGAGCAGTTTTACGATAAATAGCTGACTAGCAGAGATCATTTTGGAAGTTTTTTCGATAGTGGCAAGCTGGCAGAGATCATTTGCCATGTTTTTCGGAGCCTGGGGAGCTGGCAGCGATGATTGAGGAAGTTTTTTCAGTGGGGTAGGCTAGCAGAGCTCATTTAAGAGGTTATTCGAATTAGCAAGCTAGTCAGATTGTCTAAGTGACCGAAGACGAAGAGCGAGTGAGAGAGAGAGAGAGAGAGCGCGAGACGAGAGAGCGAGGGAAGGAGAGAGAGCGATGGAGAGGGATACACGAAAAATTTGAACGTTAGAACTTGCTTGTAAATATTTATTCACCGGAACAGCAGAAAAGCTCAGAAATAACAAAAAAATCGTTCGAAGAAATTCACAATAACGCAAAAAATAAGAATTACGCATCTATTAGCATATAAAGGTTAGGTTTAAGCCAAAGCCCAAGCCCAAGCCCAAGCCCAAGCAAAAATAATATATTTGAGGTGCGGGAGAGATCAAAATGCATTTGGAATGTGCAAAAAATACAAATAATTTGGTTACTGTGGAATTGATAAAGTTAAAAATACAATTAGAAATATAGGAGCATTAAATAGTAAGAAGAGTGGATTTGAAAGGCATAAAAACGGTTAAAAATAGCATTTAAAAATTTCAAGCAATTTGCATCTTTAGATTTTCAACAATTTCCGCAAGAAGCTGTCGTACAGTCGCGTAGGGTCGTCATTAGCGCACGGATCCCCGCCGGACTCCTTCTGGAGCCGGATGTTGTCGATGGCCAGGAAATGGTGCCGTTTCACTTTGCCGGCGATGAAGTAGACCTAGGAAAATAAGGTTATTAAATTAGATTAATTTCGAAATAGTATAAAAATTATTTATCTATTTATGTTTATGAATTTCGAAACATCGATAAAATAAAACTAGTGAAAAACCCCGACCTTCTTCATGCCGGGCGGCAAAAAGACCCGCTGGTCGACGAACCAGTACTTGGTCTTGTTGACGGCCGGGTTGGAGTAGGGGCAATAGTCGAACGAGTCGATACATACCTAAAACGAGGGGCAGGCTAGCAGAGAATATTGGCGGAAATTGGCGATAGGTTAGCAGAAACAATTTAGGAAAGCTCTAGGGAGAGAATTTGGGAAGCATAGGGGAACTGGAAAGCTAGCAGAGACGATTTAGGAAACCTCTAACCGCCGGGCGAACTAGCAGAGATCATTTGAGAAGCATAAGGGTGATCTCGCAAGCTAGCAAAGGCAATTAGAGAATACCGACCCTTAGTTGAGGCCCAAATGACCGAAGGAACAGGTCGAAAACCAAGTAGCTGTTCTCGCGATGCGCAAATCGCGGCGACTCCATGACGAACACCTAAAGGGACGTTGGCTCGCTCTGTCCCTGTCTCTCTTTCTCTCGCTCTCTCTCTCTCTCACCTCATCTTGAAGCCCCTCGTAGTCGCTTCCGACAAAGGCGTATCCAGCTGAAAAAAATTGCATTTTCCTGGTTTTTTGTAATTTTGTAATTTCTACCGTACCTTCCCGCTCATTTGCCATTTCGTTGAAATCGTCAACGTGTACACCTGTCAATTTATTGCCGATGAATTTTTGGCCGATCTGCCAGCGGGACCTAAAAATCGGATTTCCGCAAAAATATCTGCTAGCCTGCCCTCTACTCTTCCTCAACAATCTCTGCTAGCTTGCCCACTTACGTGCTCCCGATCCCGGTCATGCTGTAGTGACACCCAGCTCCACCATTGAAATTGCAGGGGAGGGCGCGGCAAATCGGATACGCTTTCGTGTCTGAAAATACATTAACTTAGCGTAGTTTTTATAAGCCACACCTTTCTCAGAAACCGTGCTGCTTGTGAATATGGGCGCCTGAAAGAATTCCATTTTGCTGAATGCTGAATTCACGCGCTTACCTCTCCGGGCTCTAGCACCTCGAAATCCACGGAGGAATCGGATTTAGCGGTTGTAGCAGTGTTTCTAAAAAGTCTTTATGGAATGGCAGGCTAGCAGAGATTGTTGCGGAAGTGGAGAGGGCAGGCTAGCAGAGATCATTGTGGCTAAAAAATCTCACCCATCCTGCTCCTGGAAAGTTTTAGTTCTCGGCTGGGGCTGGAAGTCAAAATCGGCGCCGTTGTGCGTTGTGGATTCCTTAAATTAAGATAGGCTCGGGCGGAAAATGATATTTCTTGCCTGGTTTAACAAATCCACGTCGTGCTGCCCGATGACGTAGTCGGCCACGTCGGTTAATGGTGCTTCTGAAAGTGAAATGTTCCAGAGTGTAAGCCTAAGCCTAAGCCGAAGCCTAAAACCTTAGCCTAATTCTCATACCTGTTCGAGGGCCCGTAGTGTCCGAATCGATAGAAGCTCTTGTTGATGACCTAAAACTTGTCGAATAACTCAGTTTGAAGGACCGTTGAAGGTTAGGACCCTGATATTTTAGCCGAGCTCTCCTTCGAATCTCTGATGTCAAATTCGCCCAAGCCTGGGCCGCAGAGACTTACCCAGGCTGTTTACTCGGCGTTATCGACAAGGAGAACGGCTTCGCGCCGCCGTTGTTTGGAGCTTCCTGGAAAAAAGAATTACCTGCCGTAACCGATGACTTACAAAGTGCTTTTGTGTACCAATGGGGTGGATATTTGAGGAAATTGATGGCAGGCCCTCGCCGCTGAGTTGTGGCTGAAATGACTCTCTCTCTCTGTCTCTCTCGCTCTCTCTCTCTCACTCTCGCTACCTACCGCTTCATCCCCAAGCTCACTCGAATTCGGCCCAATCTCATAGTCGGTATGTGAGGGGCTGGGGCGAGTTGACGGGGAGCCGGTCGGATGTTCGTCGTCCGTCTAAAAATTTGCATAAGCCTAAGCCTAAACCTGAGCCTAAAACTAGGCCTAAGCCTAGGCGTAACGCCCACCACTTCACACAGCTGTCCGTCATAGCGGATGTTATCTATGAGAATAATGGCCTCTTCGGAAAGGCCCCGGCTCTCGATGTATAACCGGAATGGCTCACCGGAGCCTGGGATCGTGACGTTCAGCGGGTTTTCCGGGGACACCATATACTAAAAATTGGCTTGGAGCTCGATTCCTAAACGATCTCTGCTAGCCTACTCTCTCTTCCTCAACAATCTCTGCTGGTTTGCCCCTGCTTACATCGCAAATCGGCTGTTGCCCGGTCAGCTCTTGGCAAACCTTCACCGTCACGTTGTAGCTGTTCGTCCAGAAGCTAAAATTTCTAGATTATAAACAAAACTTTGAGAATTAGAGAGGGAGAGAGAGAGAGTGAGAGAGAGAGTGAGAAACAGTAAAGCAAGTGCGTACTCAAATCTCAATTCGGCAGTCCCGAGCTGACAGGGAATATCCACTTGGATAGCGGCGCGATCTTCCGAGAATATTGCCTCTCCGCCAGCCAGCAGAAAATAATCTTCTAAATCGGAAGCAGGCTTTAATTCAATTCTATTGTACATACGGAAAGCGAAGCCTCGCGGACTCGTACAATCGAAGCGCTCCATATCTAAGTAGCCGTCGTAGCGGGCTTTGGAGAAGCTGGAAAAGCGACGATTTCCCTCTCTCTCTCTCTCTCTCTCACTCTCTCGCCTCTGTTCCTAAAACTCACAAAACAGGTCCGGTGTTGTACCATCCACAATATTCTCGATCTTCATCGAAGCCACACGAAATCCGAGCCCCGTCTGCTACTGTGATATCCACAGCTGCGAGTTGTTTGAGAGTAGCTTCATGCCGCATTTCTGAGGATTAGCAGAGATTGTTGAGGAAGAGGAGAGGGCAGGCTAGCAGAGATTGTTGAGGAAGAGGAGAGGGCAGGCTAGCAGAGATTGTTGAGGAAGAGGAAAGGGCAGGCTAGCAGAGATTGTTGAGGAAGAGGAGAGGGCAGGCTAGCAGAGATTGTTGCCGTAGAGGAGAGGCTAGGAGAGATCTTTGGAAAAACTAACCCTGCGCCGTATAGTCCCGGAATTCGGCTCGTTGGCATTGGGCTTTGCGTTGCTCAAATTCTTCTGAGGAAATCCCGCGCGCTTTGACTCGCGCTCGAGGATCGTCGGCGAACGCTGAAGAAAAACGGTTGTTAGCCATGACATTGTTACCCTACCCGTTTCCATCGAGTCTCCCGTACCGCCGTGCGGGTCATCGGCGGCTGCGGCCGCCGCTGATTGCCCTGAAATTTTTTAGCGTATATTTTTTATGTTAAAGTACCACCTGAACTTGAACTAAAATAACAGTGACAGGGTTATTTCATTAAGTTACGCATGAAAACCAACCACCGTAGCCGTAAAACGAGCTCCCGGACGAGGAGAAGCAGCCGCCGGTCGGTTCTGAAAGAAAAAGTTGTGCCCAATATTGCGCAAAAATCTCCTAGCCTCCCCTCTCCTTTTCCTCAACAATCTCTGCTCGCCTACACCAATCCAAAAACGTCTTCCAAAACCCTAAAATGTGGGAATTGTGCAAAGCGAACCGGGTATCGTACCCGGGTCACGATCGAAATTCGCTACACTCTTCCAAGACTTCGGCTCAGCCGGGCACACGGGCGAGCCGGCTGGAATTTGTGTCTTGGAGTCGCGGCGGGGGGTCGAACCTGGGACCCCTGGCACGCGGTGCGGGGGTGCTAACCGATAGGCCACAGAGGCGAGCAGGGCGGGGTGACGGGGCGGGGTCTTGGGGCCGGCAGACCGCGTGCGGCGACACCGAAAAAGCCCCGAAGCGAGTGATTTTGATTGAATAAAATGCAATAAATTCCACTTTAAAAAAATTTCGAATTAAATCTATAACTTTTTTGCGAACTACTACCGTGATAAACCCCAAACAAGACGAAAATAGCTTTGTATGCTCTGTTCACATTTTTATTCTCAGGATTTCAGCAATTTTTCGATGTTTCAATTTTTTTTGTAAAAGTCACAAAAACACTATAATTACAACTTCAATTTGAAGCGAAAAATGGGATGAAACGGTCTTGTTTTTCACTTTTTAAGCAAATTTCACCCATTTTTTGCTCAAAAATCTACTTGAATTCAAGTTATGCCCCGTATTTGGCCCTTACCTTAAGCTATTTATCTTCTAGACATTTTTGCATATTTTAGCTGCTTAAAACTTATTTTCGGTCCAAATTTGAAAAGGAAATTTTTATGATTTTTAGATTTCCCCAAAGAAACCCAGCCAACCTGCCCCAATTTTCCTAAAAAATCCCTGCTAGCTTGCCTGAATTCCATCAGTGCCACGCTCCCCTCTTTTGTTAGTAACAATTTAAATCCAGAAAATTCACCAAAAAACGTCATCTGGAAGAGGAACAGCTGGAGGGCCCAATTCATGCTGCGCTCATCACGAACGCTAATTGCTAAAAGCAAGGGAATGAAGGTAAAATTTTACTATTAAAATTATGAATAAGAAAGCATTAAACTATGCTTTTAATACATAAAAATCAATATCTTGGATCCTGGATGCAAAGTTACAAGAAAATTATACCCTCAGGCTTCTTACTGGTTTGAGGCTAGCCTGGAGCGGATGGACAAGAGTAAAAGTGGTTTCCGGCGGTCATTTCGGCGAGAGAGAGAGCGAGCGAGGGAGAGAGAGAAAGAGATCAAGAAAATAGAAAGTAGATCATCCCATTCATACGCCCGTCTTGTAACCAGCCGGGAGTATGGTCGGCGTAAGGTCAGTGGCTTCTCTCTCTCTCTCTCTCTCTCTCTCTCTCTCACACCCCAACTCGAGAAAGTAGGTCCCAGGTAATTACCCTGGCCAACACCACCCCATCCGCCCGACCTTGTAGGAAACCACTTTCTCGCCCCCCCCCCCCCCCGGGCCGAAATCGAGAACAAAAATCCCCTACGGGTTCTCTGCTAGCCTGCCTTGTAGCAAGAAAATACCTAAAAAGGGGCAACTCAAGAGGAAAAAAAAGCGAAAAATTGTTGCGAAAACGTCGCAGAAAACTTGCAATAGAGCTCTTAAGCCTAAGCCTAAGCCTATGCTTGAGCCTAAGCCTAAGTCTAAGCCTAGCATAAGCCTAAGCCTAACATCAGCCTAATCCTAAGCCTAAGCCTAAGCCTAAGCCTAAGCCTAAGCCTAAGCCTAAACCTAAGCCTAAGCCTATGCTTGAGTCTAAGCCTAAGCCTATGCTTGAGTCTAAGCCTAAGCCTAAGTCTAAGCCTAAGCCTAAGCCTAAGCCTAAGGCTAAATCGAAGCCTCAGCCTAAGCCGTGGTATCTTGTAACAATTTTTGCAAACCCTCCAGCAGCTCCAGCCCCGAAACTTGCAAAGTTTATTGCATACTATCCAAAATCATCAAAAAAATTCCATCAAAATTAGACAGCGTGAAAATGCACCAAAAATGACAATATCAACCGAAATTGCGCAAATGCGGAGACGGGGAGAAAAGGAAACTGCAAGGTGGAATGAGTATCGTAGCGTAGTACCGGGGGGACCAAATGTACAGCGGGGACGTTTTGGGGGGTTTTCAGGCTTTTTCGGGTTTAGACGTCTTCAAAAATGGGCAGTGGGCAGCTTGAACAGAATTAGCATGACGGGCGTCCTGCCATTAGTGCCGCAATTTGTTCAGCAACCGCGTGAAGAAGCTGGGGCTGGAGGCGGTGTGGCCGGCCGATTTTTTGGCGGCACGCGATCGTCGCTAAAAAGTTTATTGTTATTTGTAGTGGAAGTTTATGTGGAAATAAAATTCGAAAGTTAAACCTAAGCCGGCCCTAAGCCTAAGTTTAAGCCTAAGCTTAAGCCTAGCCTAAGCCTCAGCCTAAGCCTAAAGCTAGCCTTAGCCTACGCCTAAGCCTTGTAAGCCTTGTAAGCCTATTCTCACCTTGGACGGAGCGCAGTTAACGTAGTGAATTTTCTGGTTCTCGTCAACGTAGACACCGTAGGCACGGGCAGTCTGTTGGGTCTCCTCGGGCTGTTGGCTCATTTTAAAGGGGCTGTGAAGTCTGGAATTCCAAAATATAGATATATAGAAGATGCGCGGAAGAGAGATAGAGAGAGTGAGAGAGCGAGAGCAAGAGCGAGAGAGATAGGGGAGAGGGAGAGAGAGAGTAAGAGAGACGAGGCTACTTTGACGACAAAACATGAAAATGCTTAAACTAGGAAGTAGGGAAAAATAGAACAAGATGGGCAAGCGAGTTTCTCAAAGAATCTGTGCTAGCCTGCCCCGAAATTTTGGTCCCAGCTCCACGGGCGACGCTTTTATTCCGAGGCGGGGGGCGGACCCTCGGCCCGGAATTCGGGTGGGTGGACAGCAGTTTCTTCTCCACTCTCTCTCTCTCTCTCTCTCTCTCTCTCTCTCTCTCGCCTCCCAGATATTTGTGGATGATTTTGATGAGGAAACCGCTCAACAAACAGCCCGGCGGCCCCGGATAACATTACTGTAACATCGGGGGGATCGGTTTTGAGTGTACTTTTCGATGATAAAAATAGAGTTGAAAATAGCGTAAAAAAGCAAAGGGATTTTAAATGGCCTTTGCTAGCCTGCCCTCTCTTCTTCATGAACAATCCCGGCTAGCCTGCCCTCTCCTCTTCCTCAACAATCTCTGCTAGCCTGCCCTCTCCTCTTCCTCAACAATCTCTGCTAGCCTGCCCTCTCCTTTTCCTCAACAATCTCTGCTAGCGGCTCTCTCCTCTTCCTCAACAATCTCTGCTAGCCTGCTCTATCCGCCATGAATTATTTTCAGCATTCCCTTTCGAATTCTCGAGTGTTGTCGTGGTTTCAGGCTTGTTTTGGGGTCCGGATTCTACGGGGCCCACTGTTTTCCGCGAGATCCGCTTGTTTGTTTGAAGTGCGAGGGTGGGAGCCGGGGAGCTGGCTAGCAGGGATCGTTGCGGAATCATTCGGACACGCAAAGCTGCCTCACTGTTCTTCGCTCCCCAAATTTTCCGGGTCGTAAAAGATTTTCAAGTTCCACAAGAATCTCTACTAACCTGCCCGCGCACAGATCAGACCCGCAAATTGTCCAAAGTCACGCGCTTCGCTTTGTGGGGAAGCTGTCAAATGCAAGGTGGCGCTGGGGCTAGCCACTGTTTGCCTTTGTGTAAATAGTCAAGTCCCGGAAAAGATGATGACTCACCTCGGGGCAGGCTAGCAGAGACTTTTGAGGAATCATTGAGTTGGCGGGCGGCACTGAACACGGTTCTGGACTTCTAGCGGGGGGGATCGCCAGAGCGCCACCCTAGCTTACAGTAACCCAAGTCTAAGCATCAGACTAAGCCTAGTTTAAGCCTAAGCCAAGCCTAATAAGTTTAATACTAACCCGAAACCTAAGCCAAAGCTCAAGCAGGCTAGCAGAGATCTTTGAGGAATCGCCCTTTTTGTCGGACAATGAACACGACAAACAGTTTGGAGACCAGGGTGTCTATCCATAGGAGTCAAGTGTTGTCCCGTGTCTCGAGGGCCAACCACCCCCGCTTATGAGTGATCAGGCACCCGGATATTTGCCGATGATCAGCCGGAGATTTTCAAGGGGATCACGTGGGGCTAGCAGAGATTTTTTGAGGGATGGCACACTCTCCATCTCCCTCTCGCTCTCTCTCGCTCTCTCTCTCTATCGCTCTCCGATCATTCTCACTTGCATATAAAGAAGGCTTCGTCGCACTTCCAAAAAAAGTTCTTTATTCTCGACGATAACCGTAAATACTTGAGCGACACGAAATTAGGCTTTAACAGGGTGATTAAGTTAGTTTGTAGGTGGGAAGGGGCGGGGCTTCAGGTGGCGGATGAGGGGAAGACGACCGGAAGTCGCTTCAGGCCGTCGAAGCGGAGGGGGCCCTTCCAGAGGTATCGAGACTGAAAATATGTAAATTAGGGGTGGTAGGTTAGCAGAGATCAATAGGGAATAGGAGAAGGCAGGCTATCAGAGATCGTTGAAGAAGAGGAGAGGGCAGGTTAGCAGAGATTGTTGAGGAAGCGGAGAGGGCAGGCTAGCAGAGATTGTTGAGGAAGGGGAGAGGGCAGGCTAACGGAGTTCTCTGTGTATTCACCTGTGTATCAGTAGTAGTCGCGTCACAGCGAGTATGGTAGATGGCAAAGTAGTGCATCTGGGACGACGGGGGGTCGGCCCTTATTCTGGAGGAAGAAGCGGATGCTCAGCTGCCCTCCCTTGGCCACGACACCCATCGGCGGGTGGACGCGGAACAGCTCGGCGGACGTGCATTTGACCTGAGAAGGGCAGGATAGTAGGGGCGTACCATTTACCTTGATCGCATGCTTATCCTGCGTCGGGTTGGTGATGATCAGCTCGACGGACGAGAGCTGATTTTTCGGCTGCCCCGGGGTGGCCCCCGGAAAGATCATGTACTCGTGGGAAAGCTTCAACTGAAAAAGCAATTTTTTAATGGCCTCTGCTAGCCTGCCCTTGAAGATACCTGAAACTCGGGCTCGCCCTGCTTGTTGGGGATGGGCGGGGGCAGCTGCTGCGAGCCGGAGGAGGAGGACATGGTGAGCAGAAATAAGGAAAAATTTTGGATTTTGATTTTGCGAGGTATTCTGCACGTTCATATGTAAATTTTGGTTTTTATTCTTTTATAAGGAGTTGTTCCTTAACAATCGCTGCTAGCCTGCCCCTCAAAAGCCATCTCGTGTTCCACGTGGGCGTCCTTTCCCGAGGGGTCTTCCCCCCACGGGATCATCTCAAAAATACCCCCTAAATTGATCCCCCCCCCCCCTGGGATCGGGCTGACCATCTTTTTTCGTCGAGTGTTTATCAAACAGAGAAATCACAAATGTCTCCCCCCCTCTCGGCGGCTCAATCGACAAATCTGATGTTCTCCTGAGGGTTGAGTGGCCGGGCGATGATTTCGGTACTCGAACCACCGACCCCTGAATTTGAGAGGCAGGAAATTAAAAAATTAGGTCAAGCGCAAGCTTAAACCTAAGCCTAAGCATACGCCTAAGCCATGCCTAAACCAAGCCTTAGCCAAGCCTAAGCCTAAGCCTAACCTAAGCCTAAGCCTAAGCCTAAACCTAATATATCTCGAATTCAAGAAATTTCAATATTTAATGACATAAAAACTCTCCAGTTGCTAGCACTAGTATTGTTGCAGTTTTTAGGCTGTAGCTTGTAGTCTGTCGATTGTAGTCTGTAGTTTGAAACTTGTGGCTGGTAGTTTGTAGCTTGTAGTTTGCTTGTGGGTTGATGTCGTTTGTACAAAATTATTTCTGCAGTTTGTAGCCTGTAGCTGTAGCCAACCTGCAGCTTCTAGCTTGTCGTTTCAAATGTAGTTTGTAGGGTAGCGCTTCAAGTTTTTTAATGGAATTTGTAGTCTGTAGCCTGTGGCTTGTAGTGTAGTTTTGCATAGCTTACACCATATCTTACATCTTTATTAGCGTCGCCTTGGCGGAGGAGAAAACATTGAGCCGTGGGAATCTCGCGAAATTGCACCGAAAATCCCCATCAAAATTCGATGGTAACGTTGAAATAATTTTTGTCAAGTGAAAAAATACATAACTATCGATTGTAATGTAACAAATTGAAGGATAAAACTGAAAATACTGTATGTATTTGTGCGTCGAGGCGGCACCCGTCAGTTACGGTAGAAAACGAAAAAAAATCAAACTACAAAAATGGGGGAAATTAGCATAATCTTTAAAATCGGGAAAACCAAGTTTTTTTCAAAACTAAGGTAGCCCCCTCAAATATGAAAAATTGATGGTAAGGCCTACGCAAGTGAAAAATAGAGCATGTGGAGCTATTGTATTATCGGGGGGGGGATTTGATGAGTTTGGAAATTTCGGAGAGTTTTTAGTAAAATTTGACCATTTTCAAGTAGAAAAACCCTCTCAAAATCTTAAAAATTCCTTAAAATGACATTTTTGTCGAAAATATGCCATTTTTAACGCCCCTGATCCCACCGTTAATGCAAAGAACCGAACATAGCACAAGCACAAGTACAAAATACAAACAAAAGACTAGAAAAATGTTGAGCAACTGGTCGTGTTTTCGTCATTTAATTCCAGCTCAATTTGCATAAATTTTTGGCGAGGAAATATCGTGAATATTGAAAAAGAGAGAGCACCAGGCGAACCCAAATTGCATTCACAAAAAAAATCGATAATTTTGGGGAGAAAATTTGCATAAATCGTGCAATAATACCGGTGGGGGAATAATCGATTGGAGGGGAGTAGGAAATCGAAGAGGAACCCACGCCTAGACCTAAGGCTAGGGCTAAGCCTAAGCCTAAGCCTAAGCCTAAGCCTAAGCCTAAGCCTAAGCCTAAGCCTAGGTCCTCCTCACGTAGGCCTGGTTCATATGCTGGGGGCGGTCGTGGCCGAAGCGGCACCGCAAAATTCGCATATAGGTGTGCCGGAAACGGGCATTACACAGCGCGTAGCACAATGGGTTGATCGTGGAGTTGATGTAGCAGAGGCAATATGCAAACTGAAAAGCAAGAAATGGTCTCTGCTAGCCTGCCCTCTCCTCTTCCTCAACAATCTCTGCTAGCCTGCCCTCTCCTCTTCCTCAACAATCTCTGCTAGCCTGCCCTCTCCTCTTCCTCAACAATCTCTGCTAGCCTGCCCTCTCCTCTTCCTCAACAATCTCTGCTAGCCTGCCCCTCTCCTCTTCCTCAACAATCTCTGCTAGCCTGCCCTCTCCTCTTCCTCAACAATCTCTGCTAGCCTGCCCTCTCCTCTTCCTCAACAATCTCTGCTAGCCTGCCCTCTCCTCTTCCTCAACAATCTCTGCTAGCCTGCCCCTCAACCCTCAAAAATACTCACATCATACAGTATACTCGGCACGGTCCGCGGGTAGAAGGCCTCCCAGCAGACGATTACTGTAAAAATACGGTGAATCTTGCGTAAATTACAAAAATAACGCCTAGAAAAAAACAAAAATGATAAGTTTCTTACCATTATAGGGCGTCCAGGTGACGATGAAGGCGAACAAGATGGCCGACAGCGTCTTGGCGGCCTTGCTCTCCTGCTTTCGCTCGTTCTTCTTGCGTTCCTGGAATACGGTACGTCACCAAAATTTGACATGGTTTGGCTCAGCTAGGCTTAGGTTTAGGCTTCAGCTTAGGCTCAGGCCGGGGCTTAGGCGCATCGAAAATTCGAAAAATCACCTTCTCGCTCTTCCGCTGCTCCTGTTCCTTGGTCTTCGAGCTGAGCGTGGACTTGCCGTTGCGGGCCGGGACTGGGGATTCTGGGATTGCAAATTGTATGGATCATGAAAATTTTACAAAATCAGCAAAATCTACAGTAATCCCTGAGCCCCAGTACCTTTTATCGAGGCCAGCTTCTTCTCCTCGCACATCGTCGCCTCGACTTCGCTGCGGGACCTTCCTCGATGTGAGGAGTTCCGGGTGCACGAGATTTCGCTGAAATTCCTATGGAAATTACGATTTTTCAAACAAAAAATTCGGCACAAAATTTAACAATTGAAATATTTAGAATTTGCGATTTTCCAAACCAAGAAATGGCTAAAATTCAACTGTACTGTACTGTAACTGTACAAAAAAATTTGGCTAAAAACTCACTCATAAGCCCCAGAATCGCAACTTGAGAGCCGGACGCTCGGCCTCGTCCCCTCGTCCTTCAGCTCGATGAGTACGGTATACGTGTCGACCTGAAGAAAGGAGGATTGGGCAGGCTAGCAGAGATTGTTGAGGAAGAGGAGAGGGCAGGCTAGCAGCGATTGTTGAGGAAAAGGAGGAAAGGTCATCGTGGATCGAATCCCAACAATTTCCTACCTGTGGTCGATCAGGCTGCTGGTTTCGCGTACGGTATCGGCTTCCATTCCGTGGCGATCCGGTGCCCAGGGAGGTGCTGTCCTGAAAAAGTGAAATTTAACGTGCTACCTTGCAAAAATGCAAAAAATTCAGGAGGGCGCGAGCGAGAGAGAGATAGAGAGTGAGAGAGAGAAAGAGAAAGAGAGAAAGAGAGAGTGAGAGAGAGAGAGAGAGAGAAAGTGAGAGAGGGAGAGAAAAAGGGAGAGAAAAACTGTACCTCAACCACCGTACTGTGCGGGGCGCTGCCCTTTCTTTTCAGGTAAAAAGAAGAGGTGACGCTCGTCTGATCGTCCACGACAGCCACTGCCTGAAATTCAGTGGGTTTTCACACGTCCTCAATGACCTCTGCTAGCCTACCATTTGCCTACAAAATTCTCACATTAACCGAGCTTATCGTTCTTACCTCAGACGACTCTTCAGAAGATTGAGCGCTCTTCCCGGCGCACGCCTTCAGCCAGGAGAAGCGCCTGGTATCCAAACTAAGCGTAAGCCTAAGCCTACTTACCTCGCCTTGCCAACCACGCCGCCGATGCTGAGCTGCGTCGTCTTCCGCGAGCCGGGCCCTTCAAAAAAGGTAATTTATGGCACTTGTGCAAAAATTGAGAAAAGCCTAATCCTAGGCCTAAGGCTAAGCCCATGCCTAAGCCTAAGCTAAGCCTAAGCCTAAACCTAAGCCCTAAGCCTAAGCCTAAGCCTAAGCCTAAGCCTAAGCCTAAGCCTAAGCCCTAAGCCTAAGCCCTAAGCCTAAGCCTAAGCCTAAGCCCTAAGCCTAAGCCCTAAGCCTAAGCCTAACCTAAGCCTAAGCCTAAGCCCGAGCCTAAGAGCTCAATCCCCCTCGCACAAAACTCTCGGTCCAAGATCCTCACCTGCAGCCGCGGGCAGCGCTGTGCTCGACTTGGCCAACGAGTTCGACGAGGGCGTCGTATGCAAATCTCGTCGTATCGAGCGGTGCTAAAAAAGCAGATTAAAATTAATTTATACGGTTCTAAACGCCAAAATCGATTCTATCAAACTCTCCGCATTCCGCACTCTTTTCCAATATTGAGGGCCATCTAGCAGCGATTTTTGGGGATTTTTGGGTTGTTTTTTATGTGAAAACCACCATGCAGAAAAAAAAGAGAGAATCGGGTAGATGCTAATTGAAATTTTTCGAGGGAACATGACAGCAAAATTCGTAGGAAAAGCAATCGATTTTTTTAACCTGACGGCGTCTTTTCCGTTTCGGCTTGGGAGTCGGTTGGGATGTCTTCAATGGGGTTTAAATTTTAAAATTATTGAAATAGGTATAAGCCAAGCTTAAGCCTAAGCCTAAGCCTAAACCCAAGCCCAAGCCCAAGCCTAAGCCTAAGTCTAAGCCAAAGCGTAAATCCAATTGCAAGCTTCAACCTAAGCCTAAGTCGAAGCCTAAGCCTAAGCATAAGCCCAACCTAAGCCTAACCTAATCCTAAACCCAAGCCCAAGCCTAAGCCTAAGCCGATATTTTTCATATTTTTATGCACAAAACAGCCATTTCTGAGACCACAATAAGCCGGCAAACACTCAAAAACCGTTCTCCAAATTCGCATTAATATTTTTCAAAAGTTTCCTGCCAAAAATAGGGATTTTAAAGGAGCCGACAAGTCAAGCGGCAGGCTAGCAAAGGCCATGGAGAAAAAAAGCTTTTTCTTGACTTGACAGTGCCTTTAAAATAGAATATTTTTGCCATACTGATGCCTAGGCCAAATCCAACACCCACCATCCCGCAGCGACGCGTCTGTACGGGCAATGACACTTTCTTTTTCTGCATTTTTATGGATTTTAAGTCTTGAAAAAAGCGAATAATTTTGATACCTAGATTCTTTGCTTCAAACGAGGCGTTTTAAGCCAAAAATTTGCATAAAAATACCTGGATCGCCTGCAATTTTGAGAATTCCTTTTGTCGCTTTTTCGTCTCGCAGTAGACGCGCGAGTAGAGGATGATCATGATCGTGACGGGGAGGTAGAAGGCTGCGATTGCGGTACCCACCTAAGATTAGGAAATTTGGGGGCAGGCTAGCAGAGATTGTTGAGGAAGAGGGGAGGGCAGGCTAGCAGAGATTGTTGAGGAAGAGGAGAGGGCAGGTTAGCAGAGATTGCTGAGGAAGAGCAGAGGGCAGGCTAGCAGAGATTGTTGAGGAAGAGGAGAGGGCAGGCTAGCAGAGATTGTTGAGGAAGAGGAGAGGGCAGGTTAGCAAAGATTGCTGAGGAAGAGCAGAGGGCAGGCTAGCAGAGATTGTTGAGGACTTACCGTAACATACGGATTCGTCTCGAGAAACTGCACGACGCACGTCTCCGGGGCGACCGTGAATTTTCCTAAAATCGACTTCATCATTGGTTTTAAAAACTTGTAGTTTTTAGTCTATAGCCTGTACTTTGTAGTGTTTTGTAGTCTATACTCTACCTTCAATATAAGGCCAGCTGATGATCCAGGGCGGCCACAGGATCAGAGAAATTATATAGGTACACGCGATCATCGTCAGCGCCTTCTTCGTCGTTCTCCTGGAAGGGGCAGGCTAATAGAGATTATTGGGGAACAGGGCAGGCTATCAGGACTTCTTAGGGAGGGGCCGTTTTACTTAATTTCTCCTTTAAAACCCGGACCTAGGTCTGTACGTCAGCGGTCGGGTAACCGAAAAGTATCGATCGAAGGAGATGAGCAATAGGTTGAGCACCGACGCGTTCGACATCAGGTAGTCGATACAGCTGAACAGAGCTTAGGCTTGGGCTTAGGGAAAACTCACAGCCACAGCTGGCACATCGCGTACCCCAGCTCCCAGTCGCCGTTCGCCCGGTAGTAGGTGTACATCGGAATTGAGATAATTCCTGAAAAAAAATTGAGAAATTCAGGACTATGGTAACAAGAATACCTATCGTAATATCAGCCACCGCCAGGCTGAAAAGGAAATAGTTGCTGATCGTCTGGAGTTGTCGGTCAATTTTGAAGGACAGCATCACCTAAAACCGATTTTTTTCAAGAATCTCTGATAGCCTGCCCTCTCCTCTTCCTCAGCAATTTCTGCTAGCCTGCCCTCTCCTCTTCCTCAACAATCTCTGCTAGCCTGCCCTCTCCTCTTCCTCAACAATCTCTGCCAGCCTGCCCTCTCCTCTTCCTCAACATTCTCTGCTAGCCTGCCCTCTCCTCTTCCTCAACAATCTCTGCTAGCCTGTCCTCTCCTCTTCCTCAACAATCTCTGCTAGCCTGCCTCTTACCATGAAATTTCCGGCTGTCGTCATCACGGCAAAAATGCAGCCGAGCACGATGATCAGACTGATCCGCACCTCGCGAAATTCGTCCGACAGTTCGGTTTCTGCAAAATATCGTGCTCCCGGTTTTTGGGGGCATTTTAAAGGGAGAGTGACAGCAAGCTGACGAAAACTCACCATTCCCGAGAGGCGGCACTGACGGATCGAAGGCGGGCAACCGGCTCAACCCGGTTGCGGTCATGTTGTCGGACAACACCTAAAATTGCGGAAATAAGTCGGATTAATTGCCGAAAAGAG